GGGGCGCCGCAGGATGAAACCGCAGCCCCTGCAGGGGGGGGGACACATTCCCGGCTCCAGGCGCGGATCCGTGGGGCAAAACCAAAGGCTGACAGTGGGATGGGCAGGAGGCCAAGCTTCCCTGGGGGGCCAGACCTGCTCCTGCACAGTCAGGTGGCGAGTGCCTCTCACCAGCCCTTCCACAGCTTCTGAAACCCCCCAGGAGGAGCCTCCTCGGCAAAGCGCCTGGAGCAGCCTCTGCAGCACAGCAGGGCTGGCCCAGCACCCCAGGAGCAGCTCCCCAGTCTCTGGTGGTGCTGGGGGGTCCTATCCCACCCTATACACACAAGCATTTGCCCTAAAAAATTCCCCCTGGGAATTGCTGCTGCCTGTTCCTTAGGAAGTAACAGATGCTGGGGGCTGCGGCTGTTGAGGATTTGCATCCAGGGAGAGAGGGATTTGCAAGGGATGCACTGCCAGGCTGCTGGAGGTTTCCTTCAGGGAATGCTCAAGGGAGGGATGAGAAGGAAGCAGGGACAGGGCCCGGCCTTGTTTCTTCCTGTTAATCACCGAGGAACAAAAAGCTCCTGGAGCCACTGGTGGGTTAAAGTGGCAGCTGTGACCCCCCCGGGGGGGACGTTATTTTTGGCAGCTCTTACAACCAGGTTTTGCTGAAAACTAAGCAGCTTAGTGCAGCCATCCCCATCCCACCTGCTCCTGCTTGGATTTCTGCTGCCTCTTCCCACCTCCTTGGAGAGAGGGAAGCTGAGTCGCAGCCATAGTTCCTGCAGTGGGTACCAGGGGAAGGAGGGAGGGGCTGGTCACCTGGATCACCAGGAACTCCCAGGAGGGAAGGGGCAGCTCTTTGCAGACAGCACCAGATCCATAATGTGTCACCTCATCTCCACACAAGCTGCTGTAGCCACAGACCCCCCAGCAGGGACAAGGCCTGGGACCCCCTCAAGGGGACACTCCTTGTTTTTATCTCTGAGCACGCAGGCAGGAATTCTCCTCCTTTGGGAAATACCAGCTGGACCATGAGGTTTCACTTGGCCATTGAGCTTCAGTGTCCCCTTGGCTGGAGGAGGCTCAGCTCCGGAGCCGTTTGCCAGGGAAGGGAGGTGGGGTTTGCTTCCCACCCTTCCCACTCTCACCACTTGATGAAGACCAGCCCGGCCAGTGCCGTGTATCCCAGCACCAGGAACAGAACCTTCAGGAGACGATTGTTCTTCTCTTCCAGCTCTTTGGCAAGGATCTCGAAGAAGGTGACGAACAAGAAGGTGCCGCCCGCGATGCCTTGCAGGAGGAGGGAGATGATGCTGCTGGCTGCACTTTGGGTGCTCTCAATCCCCATCCCGATGGAGATTCCCAGAGGGATCATCAGGCTGACTGTCACAGCCAGCTTCAGGGCATCCCTCATGGGCAGCGAGGCCTTGGCCATGCTGACACCCAGGGCCACGGCCACCAGCGTCTCGTGAACGGCCACTCCCAGGAACAGGTTGATGACCTTGCTTCCCTCCTCCTGCAGGCCCAGGGCCAGGCCCTCCAGGATGGAATGTGCACACAGGGCAAACGTCAGTCCCAGCAGGCGCAGGGGCCCGGAGCGGGAGAGCTCCTGGATGCTGAGCCCGTGGGAATGGGGGCCGTGGTCCCCGCAGGGCGGGCGCGGGGCGGCGATGAAGGGGCTCTCGTACTCCGAGTCGCTCCCGGCATCCGAACCAGCGTTGAAGGTCTCCAGGTCAATGAAAGAAGGTTTTTCCTTCTGGAAGGTCAGGACAAGCTGCTCCACGAAGACTGTGACAAAGAAGCCAACCAGCATGATGGTCTCGGCCACCGGGTAGTCTGTGGTCACGTTCCCCTGCCGCAGGACTTCATCAAGCTGGAAGGAAGAGAACAATCCAGAGGGAATCACTCACCCCTGCCCTTCCCAAGGGGAATATTCCCACTGGGTTCACACAGCTCCAGAGGGACACCACATGGATCCGTGGTGCTTCGGCAGGGTTACACGGGCCTCAGTGGAAGAGGCAGGGAACCCACCTGCCTGGGGGGGGTTTGAGCACCCACAGCGCAGCAGGAGCTCTGAGCTGCTCACCCTGGTGATGCTCAATCACCTTCTGTGACCCCCCCAGTCACCAGTAGCCCAGTGGGGGGTGGGCACAGCTCAGTCCTCCTGGTCTGAAACCTCAGGCACAGCACAGCCCTTTCTGAGGAGACTCCACGGGCAGGACATGGACCCTTTTCCCCATGCCCGAGCTCTGGTGGCCTGGGGAGGGTGACCCCCCCCCCCAGCACACCCAGGGCCACAGGCTCATTAACAGCCCTCGTTAGCAGGAGGCAGCAGGTACCTTCTCCCTGAGGGCTGGCAGCAGGGCGTTGAAGCAGGTGGCCAGGAAGACTCCTCCTCCAAAGGAATTGCAGAGGGAAAGAACCTTCCTGGAGCAACGGGCCTTCTCGTGGTCAGCACTGATGACCCTGACGGGCAGCAGGGACCCGGCCAGCATCAGGACACAGATGCCCAGCAGACACAGCACCTTGGCCACCACCAGCTTCATCCTGCTCCCTGGGGAAGGCTCCTGCTGGGGGGTCCCTCCAGCCCCTGTCAGAGAGGGGACATCAGCAGGTGACAGCTCGACCACGCCTGGAGAGAAAGGTGCTCCTGGGCTCAGAACCTGTGGGTGGGAGGAAAAACAAGAGAGGTTTTTGGGGTTTAGCTATTTTTGGGTCTTCCAACTGTGAGAAAAAGAAGAGGGACTTGACCTGGTGGGATTCGTCACCCAGAGATGAACTCAAAAAGATCTCCCCTCAACAGTCCCAGGGGGTTTGGTACAGTTGGACTCCCTCCTGCTCGGTTTTCTGAACCTCCATCCCAGCTCTGTGCCAGGAGCCAGTGGAGGCCTCAGTCACGGGTGGGTAAACAGTCTCCAAAGGGAAACCCCCTGGGAACACCAGTGCTGGGCTCCCTGCTGCCAGGGGTGGGGCCAGAGGCTGGGACAGCGAGGGAAAAACAGGGATTGAGCTGCCAGGGTCACAAACAGTGACTGTGAAACCTCCAGGCGTTTCCCCTCTCCCCAGGCAGGGGCTCTGACCCTCGGCTGCACAAAACTTTTACCAAGTGACACCTGTGGGCACAAAGAGCCGCCCGGGTGAGCAGGTCCCTGCGCTGCTGCCCCGTCCCTGCGGCACCTCCAGGGTTTCACCTCCCGCTCGCACAGAACTGACTTGTGAAGCCAAACCCACAGCACCTGGGGGAGGTTCTGGTGCAGACCCCCCCTGAAAAGAGCTGCCAGGCCC